CCGATAAAAACGGGGGAGAGGGCAAGGCAGTTCGGCTGTGGCAGGTCTGGAGCATGAGGGCTCACAGGACACCCCACAGGCATTATGGTACTGGAGACTGGGCTTAGCAATTCACACCTCACTGGTGAACGGTGTGGACACAGGTTTAGTGGTGCAAATTGAGGTGCAGGGTGAACGCACAGCTCTTTCTAGGAACTTTGCTGCAAAGCAAAGCAAAAATGCAATGAATTGGTAATTTGGATAAGAAGGGTTTTGTTAATATAGGAGAGACAGCATACTTTTATGCTAATGAGAACAATCTAGTAGATCAAAAAATGATCACTATAGGAGGCAAAACAAATTTAAGAAAAAAAATTTTTAAAAGAATTATTAAGTTTATTTATTCATTCATTTATTTTAATTTGACCAAAGATAGAGAAAGTAAGCCACCAGGTCTGGGACTCAAACCGTGGTCAGCCATGTGGGAGTATCCAGCGCCTTAACCACCACGCCATCTGCTGGTTCCCAAAATTTTATTGTCTTCATTATTATTATTTAATTTGATGAGAGAAAGTGAGAACCAGCCAGGTCCAAGATTCAAACTGCTCTCAGCCAGGTGGGAGTGCAGTGCCCTAACCACTATGCAACCTGCTGGCCCCACAAAGGAAAATTGTTAGTTGGTTATTTGGAGCAAGCCACAAGGCCTGGATCCCTCCCACAGGAAAAGGCTGGTGACACAGGGGCAGTGGGGTACATGAGGCAGGGTCCGAGGGCGTTCCAGGCTGAGTTTTCTGTGAAGCAGGAGGCAGGATAAGGAAGGAGGCTGGAGATCTGAGAGCAAAGGGGGAAAAGGGTGTCTGGAGAACCTTGGAGTCTCTGGTACAGTTGTGGGTTGGCTGCAAGCAGGAAGCTGGCAGAGATCTAGTCAGGTGGGTTTGCCAAGAGCCAAGTGAAATAAAGGACAGAGGTTGGCTGTGATGATGAGGCAGGGAATAGGAACTACCCAGAAGAGAAGATGGGGTTGGTGGTTTAAGGTAGTAAACCCATCAGATTCCAGGTGGGACAGAAGCGCCAGGGAATTGGGGTGCTTACCCCATCTTTTCCTTCCTTCCTTCTTTTTTTATTTTTTAGATTTTTGCCATAAGAACCGTCAGAGGGAAAGTGAGAAATCACCCTCAGAGGGCATGCCCACCTGCAATCCCTTCTCTTTCATGCTCCTCCTAGGATTTTGGACATGCACACACATGGGCCCCGCATGATTTTCAAGTCACCAGGTCTGGGACCCAAACCGCAGTTAGCGGTGTGGAAGTCCAGCATTTTAACCACCATGCTACCTGTTGGCTTCCTTCTTTTTCTTTTTCAAATAATTGCTTTATTGCGATATACTTCACATATCATAAAACCCACCCTTTGAAAACATACCATTTCAATGGATTTTAGTATACGAACAAGGTTGTGCAACTACCACCACCATCTAATCCCTGAACATGTTCATCACCCCAAAAGAAACTCCTGTCTGCTGAACTCTCCACCAGGTGTGGCTTCTTCCCTGGCCAGGTGGCCCACACCTCGCTGTCCTCACAGCACAGATTGACCCTAAGGCAACCAGGAATCTATCTACTTTCCAGACGTTCAGTATAATGGGATGTTCAGTATAACGAGATCACGTACTGTGTGGTCTTTGAGAATGGGATTGTTTTATGAAGCTGTTTCCAAGGTTCCACTATGTTGTAGAATGAAATCCTGCTTTACTCTTTTTCAAGGCTAATATTTCATTGTAAAGATAGGCCACCCTTAGGGAACCAGCAGTTAGCGTAATGGTTATGTCGCTGGACTCCCACGTAGTTGACCGCGGTTCGTGTCCCGGACCCGGTGGCTTAAAACTCACGCCGGGCGCGTGTGCGTGCGTGCCCAAGATCCCGAGAGGAGAATGGAGGAGAAGGGATTGCGGCGTGACCATCCCCCCCGGGGGGTGATTTCTCGCTTTCTGTCTCTATGTCTCTGTCTGTCTGGCGAGCGCACGCGCCCTACAGTGAAAATCTCTCAAAAAAAAAAGAAGATAGGCCACCCTTTATTGGGGCTGGCAGGTGATGTGGTAGTTAAGGCAGCTGGAGTCTCACATGGCTGACCATGGTTTGAGTCCCAGATCTGGCAGTTCGCTTTCTCACTTTCCTTCTCTCTCTCACTGGTCAACTTCAAAAACATAAAATAATGACAATGAATAAAATTAAATAAAATAAATTTTAAAAAAAGATAGGCCACCCTTTATTATCTATCTGCCTGTGGACACTTGGATTTCCACTTCTTCCTATTATAAATAATGCTGCTACGAACGTTTGTGCACAAAACTTTCTGTGGACACTGATGCCGCCCTAGGCACAGAATAACAGCAGACCTGTTCACCGAATACCTGATTAGAGCCTGGCATGACGCTGAGCACAGAAGATCCACATTGCCTCACACCAGAGGAGGGTCTCCGAAGCAGGGGAAAGCGAGGCCTGGAGGGTGAGCGCACTGAGCGCAAAGGCTCTGAGGCCTGAGCACCGTAAGGACAATGCTGTGCGTGGGAGAAAAGGCACAGGTGGGCTGCCAGGAGACGCGACTGGGACGAGGGTAGATGCTCGAGATGAACTCAAGGCCTGACCAGGGCAGGGCTGGGGTGCCGACGGGGACGCAGATCCTTGGGAGACCAAGAGCCTCGCGGGGCTGTGTACCTGTCTCCACCCGACCCTCTATCCGGGATGCAGCTACTCTCCCGGCCTCTCCGATCTCAAGCGCGCGACCGCCCCGGGCGCGAACCCCAAGCTCCGCCCCGTATCCCTCCACAGCATCCCCAGTCTCCCGCCCGTCATTACCCCGGCCCCCAACCTGCGTCCTGTACCCCGACCCACAAGCAGCACGGACGCCCCTGAGAAAGACTCTCCAAGGCTCCCACCAGGGCGATCCTCGCCCATCCGTCTCAGGGGTAGGGCCTGTGGACGGTTTAGCTTTCTGGCGACCGCGGCCGGAGACACCCACTCTGGGCCTCAGTTTCGCTATCATTCCTGGGGGGCAAGGGTCACGCCGGCGCGCTCTGAGACTGCCCCGCCCCCGGCGCTCACGACCGCG